TTCCTGTGTTAGTTTGCTGAGAATGATGGCTTCCAGCTTCATCCACGTCCCTGCAAAGTACATGAACTCATTCTTTTTTATGGCTGCATAGTATTCCATAGTGTATATGTGCCACATTTTCTTTATCCTGTCTATCACTGATGGGCATTTGGGTTGGTTCCAAGTCTTTGCTATTGTAAGTAGCGCTGCAATAAACATATGTGTGCATATGTCTTTATAGTAGAATGATTTATAATCCTTTCGGTATATACCCAGTAATGGGATTGCTGGGTCAAATGGTATTTCTTGTTCTAGATTCTTGAGGAATCGCCACACTGTCTTCCACAATGGTTGAACTAAGGTGATCTTTTTCTTAAGCTGCTTATTAGTGATATGTACTCTCAAAGCAACAACAGCCAAGCATGTTATTTTCACAGATGTCAGACTACACAAGCGTTTTTTCAAAATCTCTGGTTATTCCTTGGGTTTCTAACCCTCACCCTCAACTGTGTAGATGGTATTCTGGTGTTTTTTTGAACTTTCTATCACAGAGGAAAAGACAGGGTCAGTCTGATTTTCCTTCAGTTCTAAGTACTTTTCTCAGATCCTGGAATGTTTTAAAGTTTTCCAGCATTTCAATACATATTTTGCCAGGATACGTCTTCGTGAGGATCTCTTTCTATAGAACATGATTTTTCTAAAGATAAAATGTTTTCTTTTTTTTTTCATTAGTTCGTTGTTTTTGTTCTACTCTAATCTGAAAATTTTATTTTATTTATATTGGAGTTTTAAAATTGAGTCTCGGCCGGGCGCAGTGGCTCAAGCCTGTAATCCCAGCACTTTGGGAGGCCGAGACGAGTGGATCATGAGGTCAGGAAATCGAGACCATCCTGGCTAACAACGTGAAACCCCGTCTCTACTAAAAAATACAAAAAACCCCCAAAAAACTAGCTGCGCGAGGTGGCGGGCGCCTGTAGTCCCAGCTACACGGGAGGCTGAGGCAGGAAAATGGCGTGAACCTGGGAAGCAGAGCTTGCAGTGAGCTGAGATCCACCACTGCACTCCTGCGTGGGCGACAGAGCAAGACTCGTCTCAAAAAAAAAAATAAATAAATAAAAATAAAAATAAAATTGAGTCTCACAGAACTATCAGTCTCATTACTTCCATTCCTTTATCCTTTTCCTCTACATTCTTAGAGAACTTCTCAAGTGTATTCTTACTATCACTGATTTGCCTTTCTTTTTCTTCTTTTTTTTTTTTTT